AAACTCCTATCTGCTTAGGCCTCTGGGGGCCCCGAAATGAGAAAGAGAAAGGGGGGAAAAAGGAGACAGAGATAGAGATGGACCTGGTCTCGGTGAGATGAGGGGGCCAGCCGGTCTCTGCGAGGCGTGTACCTGGGAGTCGGGCACAGCAGTCCTGTGGGTTAAACTAGGCTTGTTTAACCCTGGGAGCCTAATGGTGTGCTCCCTCAGCAGCATCCGGCGGGATTCCGATCGATACTCCTAGAGGAGAAGGCCTCAGCTTTTCTTCTCCATTTGCTTCTGTCTCCTAGCGCTTCTGAGCACATAATACCTACTTATCAGTCCCAGCTTCTGCGATCAGTGTCTGAAGAGACTGATCTACTGACCCCAAACTGAAAAGACTCCTATGTAATAATAACCACTCAACACACTTGTAGTTGCTGATAAAATGGCCAGATAAAAAGGCTAAAGCTCTTGTCCCTTTTCAACTCGGGGTAATAAAACAGACACATATTTGAATGCTTGAGCAGAGCAGGGTCCTTGGCAGGAAATCCCCACTTGCTGAAGGAGGCTTTCAGTCTCCCACTGAGGGGGCTTTCTTGCTCCTGCTCTGAAAAGCCCCGGTGCTGCCCAAGGCCAGCCTCTGAGGAGTGACCCTGGGACTCTCCCATGGTGGGTGGTGGGACCGGGGACCCCCTGCTCAGATGATGCCACACTCTCCCTCACCCCAGCAATGCTTGAGGGCATTGTAAAGGCTGTTGTAAAAGTGCATCAGACCAGCTAATAGGCAAAGCATTACTTTCCACATCACTTTCGACACACACAGGCAAAAGACACCTGTTTTTAAAAAGCTCCGTCCTTTGCCCGGCAGGCGTGAGGGGGCGGCAGTGCTCTGAGATGGGCTGGAGTTGAATAGCTGTCATCCTGCCTTCAACTGTACTCCAGCCCCACTTCCCCAAGACCAACTGCTAAATTTCTTCAGGCTGCCTGTACCCAGAAATCCAGCTCTCGCTAGAACTCACCTGAGAGGAACCAAGAACGTTTTCCGGAGCCTAAGACAAAGGGGTACTACATTGTTCAGAATTGTCAGTAAGCTTCCAGTTTATTTTTCACTGCTCCTCTCTATTCACTGCTTAATCTTTGCTAGGAACCAAAAGCAATCGGAGAAAACTGCAGAAGATGAAGAGTAAGCTAAATTTGGAGAAAGATACAGTTGGTTTCTAAATCCATGCAAAACTATCTGGAGCCCCAGATTTGGGGAAGCTCTGAGGGGAAAACTAGTTTTCTTTACCTTTTCAGATCAACACTGCGAGATTACTGACTCGAGATTGGAATCCTTCAACAGTGGGCAAAGGCGGAGTCTGTCAGAGTGGAAACGCCCCCTCCTCAAGCCTGGGCGAACACGCTGCCTGTCACAGCCCCAGCCCTGTCGGGCGTCGGTAGAATGCACCTCATAAGCCAGGCTCAGCGGTGCGAGGAAAGCCCCGGGGAGCCGGAGAAGAAGCCTGAGCTCGCCTCTCCAGAAGCGCGTTGTGTGCCACAGGCTCGCAGCCGCGCGAGACCCCACTGTGCGCGCCAGTCTAAATCACTGCCACCACGACTTGTCCCCCCAGATAACCCGACGATCTGAAGAGGTAGCCCCAGTCCAAAAGAAGCTGCCCATCCTGGCTTGCAGTCGGGTACGTGAGTCCTCCCCAGTGGGGCGCCTGGACACTTTGCCCTTCTTGGCCCGCGGCTGGGTCCTGGGGGCAGCGCAAATGCCACGCGCACCGCGCTGGGTCTGTGCGCACAAAAGCGCCCAACTGTGTGCCAGTCACAGCCACGGCTGCGTCTTTCTCGCTCCCGCCGCCCACACAGGAGGTTTCTGCGCTCCTAGAACAATAGAGGGCTGTACCTCGCGGCTCGGCCGCTAGAGGAGGCACAAAGAGCCAAGCCCGCTCCAGAACAATGTAGCCGGCGCGTCGCCCAGTCCCCTCCCGCCGGCCGCCGGCCCTCCCTGCCGCCGAGCTAAGCGCACCATCAGCGTCCGCTTAACGCAAAGGCGGAGCCTGTAGCCCACGGCCAAGATGCGTTAACTAACCTGCATCTTAATTTCTCAGCACCGCTTCCCGCGAGCTCCTAGCCTCTCCCGGAGGCCAACCAAACCTCGGCAAATCCCAGCAAACGCTGGGAGAGGGGCAAGGGCGGCCGGCGAGTAAGGCAGGGAGCTCTCCACACTCGTTTCTCCTCTCTTGTCCTCCCAAAGAGGTAAATATGGCATTCCCGACCTTCATCCTTGCACCTCCCCTCACTGTGGGCAGTGACACGAGACTGGCCCAAGCCTGCTTTCCGTCAGAAAGTGCCCCCGCCTAATGTCAAGGCCAGAGGTGGTCTCGGAAGCGCTGTTGTAGCCTGGCTACACGTTCTCCGCCTGGGCAAGCTGTGACTCTTGTCAGTGGCCAAGAGTTTGCCTCTCCGCCTGGGCAAGCTGTGACTCTGTCAGTGGCCAAGGAAGTTTGCCTCATATGGTGGGTCGGAGGAGAGCACGAAAAGGATCGTTTTCCCCTTCTGTAGAGCAAAGCACCTCCCCCCGCCCCTCCACCACAACTACCTCCACATAGGGAGACTAGGCAGCCTGGTAAACTGAAGTGTATTGTCTAAGCAAGAGTTTAAGAGCACAGGATTTTGAGTAAGGGCAATCCCCCATCTCTGTGAATCCTGGAAAGAGAAGCTCCTAGCTGACACGGCATACCCCCATTTCGCCTCCCACAACTGGATACGGTTGGAAAGAGGGCAGAGTTGGCACGTCAAGCAGAGTGCGAGTGAAATGGGGGCGGGGGTCTGCCAATGAAGCTCGGGAGACAAGGAGGTAGGAAGGAAGAGAAGTAAAGAAAAAAGTGAAGGGGAAAAAAGGGAGAAAAGAAGACAGATAAAGAGAAAAAGGAAACGGAAGAAGAAACATAGTACAGAAAAAGTAAGAACTGTTGAGGGGAGAGGAGCAGAAAACCAAGAGAAGTGGCTAGGCGCGCTTACCCGGGGCCACAGGCACCCCGGAGCTCTCTCCCTGCAACCTAACTCCAGGCGAGCCTCTGAGCTTACCTGCCAGGCGTAAGGCGGACATGCGCTGGAACTCGGGCTCCTGCAGCCACTTCCACATCCTGCGGAAGGTCTCCCTGCCAGATTTGAGTTTACTCCACGGTTTCGGGTTCCGGAGCAGGTCGGAGAGAGTCCCCTGAGACCGGCACAACACCCTCTGCGCGAAGATCGCCTGTGGGATGCTGTAGCGCTTCAGCTCGGCGGTGATGCGCTGGGCCACCTCTTTGGTGTTGATCTCCTCCAGCTGGCCTGATGTGGCCACTTGCGATCCCGAAGAGGACGAGGGTGGCCTCTCGCGGCTGGGCGCCAGCACAGGCCCATGGGACTGAGCGTGGCCCGGGTGGTGCAGGCCGTTGAGGTGCGACATCATGGCCGCGGGCGGGGTGCCCAGGCCGCGGGACAGGTGTTGCTCACCGCGGGTCAGCATGGCAGTGTGGTGCGCGTCGAAGTTGGGGCTGAGCATTTTGTCGTGGCCAGGGGGCCCGTAGTTAGGCAGGCTCTGCTGCGCGTTGTGGAGGCCGCCCAGCCCATTGCCCAGCGGTGTGGCGGCCAGCGGGGACAGGCTCTGGCTCATGCCAGGCATCTCCTTGTAGGGACTGTAGAGGTTGTTCATGGCCGGAAGCCCGCGCTCGTCGCGCATGAGAGTGAAGCTGCCGCTGACGTTGCCTGACAGGCGCTGGTGGTGGTGGTGGTGGTGGTGGTGCGGGTGGTGGTGCGGGTGCGGGTGGTGGAACTTGTCCGAAACGGTGGAGATGGGCGGCAGTGGCTGGAGCGGTGTCAGCGTGGTGTAGGTGTTGCTCATGCCCATGCCGGGCGGGGACGAGTCGCAGGACATACTCATGGCGTGATGGAGCGGGATGGAGAGCTCGGGCCGGTAG